AGCAAGGAGGCCACAAGGCAAAGCAGCCAGGGGGCCACAAGGGAAGGAAGAGGGGGGGGGTGACAAGGGAAAGCAGCTAGGGAACAACAAGGGAAGGAAGATTGGGGGGAGACAAGGGAAAGCAGCTAGGGAACAACAAGGGAATGAAGATTGGGGGGAGACAAGGGAAAGCAGCCAGGGGGCTACAAGGGAATGATGTTCAGAATGAATAAATACTGTTGCCAGACTATTTTTACTGGTCCTTCTGCAATACTTCCAGTGGTCACCATTTGTTTCATGGCCCTGCATCTACAGACATCTTCCTTCTATCAAATTGCCAGTAGATATAATCCACACAACCATATCAAGTTGTTTTAATCAAAGATAGCAAAACTATTATGTTGCAGCCACTATAAGGGAATAACGGTTGTAGAAAGACACAGTGGTCAATCAACGAAGGCTGAATCACATTCATACCTTCTACTCCTCCATCAGCACTACTCTGGAGGAAAGTGTTGCTCATACAAATAATTTAGATTCCAGGTGTGATTTTCCTTGTTCAGGTTTAAAAATGATGGAAGGAGTCAGCTTGCTGATTGCTCAGACACTTTACCCCCAGTTTAGCAGAATGCTCATGTTAGTCTTCAGTATACATTCTCTCAAGTTTCTGCACATATTCTGCTCCAGTGCACCAACCTCACTTAGTGCAGGTCTGACATATATACGAGGCAATCCGCTCACCTTGGGGTACTGGCTGAGGTAAGGCTGAAGAAGAGAATCGGCTTCTGTGGTGTCTTCCTCTCCAGTCCCTGTAGACATGACACAGAGGAGGTACAAATCTTACTGTGTTCTTCATAGCAAAGTGACCATTGGTTTATGTGTTTTCTTGCTCTAGACTGTATGCATAGGGCAATGAATCCCGGTCCTGCAGCTGATTTGGGTGTCTAAGGGTTACTGATGGTATGACCATACTGTTAACATACCACTGCTTTAAGAAGAAATAACCCTGGTACTGATGCCCTCTGCTTTGCTCTTTTAGGAGTCCCAAAGCAGTTGAATCCCCCATTCATTTTAAGTGTGCAAAAGAGTAAAGTAGGACAGCCTGGACTCCAACATGACCGGCCTATCCTCCTACCACAGAGTGTTCTTTGCAGCTATGTAGGACACTGCAGCCTGCATTTTAGCAATGACTTGGAAAATGTAGGTGCGGTGTGGAGTAAACACAGTGTAAAGTTCTCAGATGGATTGGACTATGATGTGATGTAGATGGGACAAGTACAAAAATGGATTATTAGAGTCTGGTCTACAGATATTAGATCTCCTCTCTTTGGAACATCTTTCATATCAACACAATACTACTAAAGTGCACCTGTAGTTCTGGAGAAAATGTAATGCTACCAAGGTGGAGGGAAGGTGAGAAAGTTGATTCCCTACATTTTTGAAGGTCTTAGTGTATTTTTGAAGGCTATGAAGACCTACCTCCTAAGCTATTGAAGACCCTTCTCTTGTATCTCTAAGCCCCATCTACATTATGTAAGTTCTAAGGTTAGTTTATTGGTAAGTTTAATGTCATGTAAATAAGCAGAGATGAGATGAGTATTGACTGATCAGGCCAATGATGGCCATTTTGGAAAACAACTATGTCTGAACACTACAAGTCCTACATGGACATCCCCCTTCATGTGGGAAGACTCTGTCTAGCTTGAGTCTTCTGTCGAAGGCCAGTTTTAGTGGGTCTCTAATTGCTGCATAGGTACACATGGTCAGCCGAGATAAATACACATGCTCATGCCGCAATCTACATTCAGAAGTATGAACTGTTGATCCCTTCCTGATGTGCATGGTTTCATAAAGCTCTGAGCTGCTGAATAACACGAAAACCTAATCTCCCAACACTACCATGAAAAATAAGCAAACCTAATCTCCCAACACTACCATGAAAGATAAGCAAACCTAATCTCCCAACACTACCATTAAAATAAGCAAACCTAATCTCCCAACACTACCATGAAAAATAAGCAAACCTAATCTCCCAACACTACCATGAAAGATAAGCAAACCTAATCTCCCAACACTACCATTAAAATAAGCAAACCTAATCTCCCAACACTACCATGAAAAATAAGCAAACCTAATCTCCCAACACTACCATGAAAAATAAGCAAACCTAATCTCCCAACACTACCATGA